TTCTTTCGGTCCATCGGCCTGTCGTAGAAAGCGCTTGAGGAGTTCGCAGTCCCTGTAGAGGTGCTTGATGGGGTAGGCGTGGTTGGTGCATGGACTCTCCATGAGCTTGTTGAAGTGGTCGGGCTGGCCCTGCTAGAGCTGCTTGCCCGCGCGATCGGCTACGGAGACCAAAGCTGAGTTGGCTGGTTGGTGCCGATCCTTCTTGTTCTTTTTGTCCCTTTGTGTGGAGGGGCCCTCGTCTTGGTCCTCGCGCTTGGCCTTGCCCTTGTCCCAGCCTCCACTAAAGACCGCTCCGACCGCCTCCTCGCTGGAGCCATGGTTCAAGGCGATGTCGAGCAGGTCGCGGGTGATATGGGGCTTTAGATAGCCAAGCTTGTGGATCAAGGACTCACAGGTTGTCCCAGAGAGGAACACGCTGATGATGTCCACGTCGACGACATCAGAAAGGGAGTTGCATCGTTTTGAGAACCTGTGTATGTAATCCCGTAGGGACTCGTTGGGCTTCTGCTGGCAGCTCTTGAGGTCTCAGGAATTCCCAGGATGGACATATGTCCCCTGAAAATTCCCGATGAAGATCCTCTTGAGATCCGCCCAGTCGTGGTGCTGTCATGCGGGAGGAATTCGATCCATGCTCGAACATGCTCCCCCACGTAGATGGGGAGGTATTGAATGATGAAGTGGTCATCATCCACTCCTCCGGCTCTGCAGGCGAGCCGGAAATCTTTGAGCCATATACCGGGATTAGTTTCTCTGGTGTATTTGGCGATGTTGGTGGGCGGTCGGAAGCGCTGTGGGAACGACGCTCTCTGGATGCGACGGCCAAAGGCCCGTGGTCCTAGGCCATCCAGGCTGGGACTCCGGTCGTCCGGTCGGCGACCATGCCTGGGGTGCGTTTCCCCGCTCCCCTCGATGGCCCGGCCGAGGCCCGTGTTGCCTGCTCTCAACGCCCCTTGGTGGACATCACCATCACGCTTGGCTTGACGCCGATTGTTGATGATGTTGCGAGCATCTCGGTTCAGCCCGAGGCATTCGCGCACAGGTGGTCGGTGTGGACTGGGCGCTGGGTCAGGCCGTGGTGCAGCTGTGGCCTCCTGTTCTACGCCCAGCAACTATAGTGGTGAGCGGATGGAGCGGTTAGACTGGTGCGCCCCCATTCCCCCGGTGGGGAAATAGGCCACGATTCGGTGTCACAATGCGGAGCTCACCGCCTGTTGAACGACGGCGGTTTCCACTAGCGCCCGGAGGTTTCGGTGGACCGCCTGTTCCTAGGGGTTGATAGGCTCGAGAAGGCCGCATAGAAGCATCGTCGCAGCGGCGATGTTTTGGCCAGCCCGAGCGAACTGTGGGGGATCGTTCCCTTCGTCTAGGAGATTGCGCTGGACCTAACGGGCGTGACCCCAGGCGCTGCTCGCCGGGTTATGCACGCGTGGCGCAACGTGCTACGCCGAGCGCGCCGGCGCAGGTGACGGCTGGTTCTGCCGCCTTTGTCGTAACTCCTCGCCGTGCTCCTACGCGCACGTGAGGGCCTCCGCACAAGGGTTCAGAGGGGTGTGAGTCTGTAGAGACTCTGCTACCACCGACGGCTGTCTCGAAGCGTCCGCCATAGCGCACTCTCGGGACAGAGGGTGGCTAGGCGCCACGACGTCGCCGATGCTGTAGCCGTCGCTTTCAACCTCGTCATCCATGAGGTCGTGGAAAGAGGCAGGAGCGTAGCCCGCCATCCCCATGAATTCGGATGTGAGAGGGGGCGGCGCCAGCATCTTTCAGAGCCCCCGTGCGTACGCATCCGCAAGGGACGCGAGGCCATAGGGGAACCGGTCGTATGGCGGTCGCGGTGGGGACAACGGGGTCCCTCCGGAGAATCAACGGAAGATATTGAATAGCGAGTAAAGAACAATATGTACGTTACTCACAGTGGAGTTTGAGCCCAGCGTGGGCTCGAAGCGAAGCGCAGGCGCCTCATCGTTGAGATCGCCAGGTGGCCCAAAGCCGACGGAGGGCGCTCCTACTCCGACGGGCGCTGGGACAGGTGCCTCCTCGCGAAGGCGAAGCACGCCGAGCCGATCGGTGATGAAGTCTAGGCTTCCAAAGAGGAAGGTCTGGGACGGCTCAAAGACGGGAGGAACCCACATCCCAACAGGTGGGAGCATGGGAAACTCCAACGAGCCAAAGCGAGTCGTATCGTCTGAGCCCGCCATGACGAAGATGGTGGAAAGGTGGGTCGTCCGATGACCAAAAGCGTGAACGTACGGCGTCTTCCCCACGGACGGCGCCAACTGTCGGTGCGAAAAGTAACCAACAAGTAAATATTTGTAGTTTTGTCGTACGTTGTGATCGGATGTGGCCTAGCACTCAATGACATAGGGTTTATATTGGTTCAGGCAACGTGCCCTACGTCCAGTTTGAGTCGGTCGGTGACTTTATTCCTGAGCCCAGGTGCTCGAAGTTTGATGTGGAGTTACAAACGAGTAGGAGTAAGATGGGGTGTGTTAGAGGTCTGGTCAGACTCTGGACCGAAGGACCAAGAGTAACAGGGAGCTCCTACGTGCGCTTAAGCGTTGGAACGTATGCTATGTATAGCTTTAGAGTTCTAGAGCTAGCAGAGAAAGAGTCAGAATAATCCGTCTGTCTGTTTGGAGAGAGCGCATCCCCTTTTATAGGTTAAGAGGATAGCCTTACAAGTGAGAGAGAGTGTGAGAGAAAGAGAGTGTGTGTGTGTGCTACCTAGTCTTGTTGCCCACGCCGTCGGGTACAAGACGGTTTGTCAACGCCCACAATACTGTTGATGGCCAGATGCATGTGGTAGGTTCCATCGTGTTCTTCTGGTATGGCAAATGTCGGTGCCTACCATACTGTAGGACAAATGTTGGCGCCCACAACACTGTTCGTATTCTGGCATATCTGGAAGGTTATAAAGTACCCTTCTGACATGATCTGATAGTACTGTCCTGCAGGTGTGCAGGATACGGTCCTCGGTATTGCGGTTGATTTGAGTGCCCTGCCTTATTTGCTCTGTCTGTTTCCTGGGTCCTCACCGAGCGGGCGTCCCCGGTCGGTCGTTCCCAGTCGGCTCCGACTACGCCGGTCGGAGAAGAGCCGTCAGCAGAGGTTCGGTGAATTCCCGGTCGGAGAAGCGGGTCGGAGTCGGAAGCGAGCGTCGTCTCCTCCTTGGCCAGGCCTTCTGGTCGGAGAAACGGGTCAGAGTCAGTAGCGAGCGTCGTCTCCTCCTTGGTCAGGCCTTCCGGTCGGAGAAGCGGGTCAGAGTCGGAAGCGAGCATCGTCTCCTCCCTGGCCAGGCCTTCCGGTCGAAGACTGGATCGCTCTTCCGGCCTGTCGTTTAGGTATCTGGGCCGGCCCAGGAGTTGTGTATCGTTCGCAACGTCGTCTGCTGGGCCTAGCTTTTGCTGGGAAGCAGGCCTATTAGGGACCCCGGGTTTATGAACCCGACACTATCTATCTATCTAATTTCCCCAATGGGCGTTATTATTGAGGCGAAGACAGAGGAGGGAGTATATATCTATATCTATATTTAATTCTCCAAAAACGATATGCATGTTCTTATCGAGACGAAGACAGGATAGAGTATCTATCTATATCTATACCTAATTTCTCCAAAAATGATATACATGTTCTTATCAAGAAGACAAAGGAGGGAGCATATATAGATATAGATAGATGCTCCCTTCGTTCTAAAATAAATACATATCTCACAATTTGAGGAGTTGACCAATCTTAAGTTTGACTAAATTTATAAAAAATAGTATCAATATTTGTATCTCTAAATAAATTTACCATAAAAATATATGACATGGTTAACAAATGATGTCTATTTAGTATCATAAATATTAATATATTTTGGTCAAATTTAGAATTAATTACTCTTTGAAGTGAACACTTATTTTAGAATGGATAGAGTAATATTAAGGAGCGAATTGATTCTTTCGGTCCAGCTTTTTTACTTTCCAAAGGCACCTCGCCCTCTGTTCTGACATGAACTCAGAGACCATAGTTATACAAGTCAGAACAACTCGTATCCCGCAATGATACGAAGTCCAATTTTAAAACATATTGGTTTCATTGCAAAGTACCGATAACACTAGAAGACACCGTTGGGAAACTGTTGGCACTGACACCCCCTACTTGGCTACTTGATCGCTGACGTTGGACATGGTTGGCATAAGAGAATGGCACAACCGGAAAGGGGCATCTTCGTTGTGGACAAATGGAAAGGTCAAGGGGGACTGTAACTGTTTCCAGGTAGACCGAGGCAGATCGATCGGCTGATATGCTTGCTGTTTCTTCTGAAATCCAAAGCCCGTCGCCCGTCGCCCGTCGGAAAGCTGTGCCGGCAACCCCCACTGTGCAGCCTGGCCTGGGCATAAGCATGCCCAAGCAGTGCAGCCAGCTGTTCGGGCTTTGATCGACATAGTACTTGTGAAACCTTGGGACCAGTACCGGAACTGAAAGTCCGCAAGAACTCATTCTGAGCCCAGCTTTGTTCTCCGGTCCAAAAAATTAGGAGGTGTTTGATTGGAGAAATATGGTAACCTCTTTTTTTATTTGATTTGTGAAACAGAATAAGTTCATCCAGCACCACTTCATTTCCTAAGCATTTGGACCACCAAATTTAAAATTGGACTAACGATGCACCACCTTATCCGGTATGAGTTGGCTCCTCAAACTAAACACCATATTTAATGCTTTGACAGATTGCAAGGCCAAACACAACACCATCAGATCTTCAGAAGATAAAGAACGCCAACAACAGAATTTTGTATGGAGATTCATTTGTTGGTAACTCAGTTCTGCTCCAAACACTTGCTCCTGTCAAAACACTTCGCGGATACAGCTGACCATGGTTCGCTCAATGTTTTCCATTTAATCACAACAGCTCCTATGATAGATATCTCAACAAATGTCGATACAGATGCACAGACAACTAACTATGAAGCACAGACAGACCACGCCTAGAGTGAAGATTGACACTTCTATGCACTGGCTCAGCTGTCAGGTAGTCTCATATTAAGCACTTCTGGTGGTGGCCGAAGAGTGCAAACCATTTCTCTGGTCTTCCCGAAATAAACCTGCCAACAGAATGATATTGCATGCAGCTAAGGAATTGGCAAGTTGCAAATGACGTCGGCAACTTTGGAAGATCTCAATATTCGCCATAATCATTGTCAATGCAAAACTGTTACCTGGTCCAGTGAATTTCTCAGCTTCCCCTCCATCTCTTCTATCATTTTCCCCATATTAACAAGGTGTCCATCAGCTACAGCAAGGGTCATACTCATCTGCAAATAGAAACAGATAGTTGTCACATTAGATTCTTCCAATTGTCTATATACCTCGGTAGGATTTCTAATCAAAGAAGTAATGCCCTACATAATGCTTATTTAGTTCAGAAACAGATTATCATATCCTAGTTTGGTAGTTCCTAAACAATTGAAAAGTTGCTAATTATTTTTGCTTAGCACATGCTATCTTGTTTCTACTGGCCTTCTAGGCTTTACTAAACTGCAAGTAATTTAGCAGTTCATTCATTTCGACTTTGAAGTATACATTTCTTGTAAGTTCATAATAGCTAGCCTACAAATTCACTAAAAAAAATCAGTGCGTATTGTTAAGTGCACGAAGTCTCAGACGTATTAAATAAACAACAAGAGCAGTGGAAAATAGGGATGAGAGTTAGTTGTGCCCCTAATTAGAAGTAAGACACCTTGATCAAAACGGTGCCCATGGTATGGAAAACATTTAATACTAGATGGACTAAGAAGAGAACAAGTGACAGAACCTGCCGTCTAATTGATCCAGACAAGTTGAAGGTTCCAGACTGCTTGTTGTCTGTTGTCAATGAGAGCATCACAGTGCTGTTCAAGCAGTAATGTGCCGCTCCTTCTTCTTCAGTACCAACCTATTAACATCAAACAAGTGTTTAACTGTTACACCAAAACTTAACAAAACAGCAACACAAGGAGACAGAAATGAGGCAAAAAAAAAAATTAACTATTTGCCAGCAAAGGTTAACATGAGGAAAACAGATAGTCTAATAATTGGTTATTCATAAGCAAGGCTTCCATGAGTTACCTGAATAACATGAATAGCATCCCATGAACCAATCTGCATGTACCCTCTTTTTCCTTGTCCGTCTGAAATAGCCAATAAGAAATTCAAGTAAAATGAGGTTTAACCAGTCTAATTTAAAAACCATATCACTTCAGGCATTTGTGTAGACCTTTCTTAATTAAGAAGCATGCGATAAACCCATTATCTTCATCCTCCCAAATGTAAACAGATGAGATGCCACCTTCATAGTACCTAATAGTTAACGGGAGATCTTGTTACTTGTTTTATATCCACATGATAGATATCATCAAAAAGAATAAAAGATACTGAACTAAGGATCATGCTGATCATAGCCTTCTTTCATATTGCATTTACTTAGCACTGCTGCTTTAAGGAGACAACAACATGCAACACGAATCTTACTGATCACGATACACTGAGAAAACTTCATTTGCCTCAACCTCAAGATTCCTCATCTCTTGAGAAGGAACTGTCCCGTCTTCCAAAGGGGGATCATATTTGTTTGACCAAGGAGATCTGCAAATCGATCACACAGTCAGCAAATGACAAAACAAAAGAGACCCGCAAGATTTGAAGTTTGCCCAACTAGTCAACTACCCAACTGAATCAGTCATTGTTTTTATGTTGATATAAATACTGAATCAGACTCATTAAAGTATCCATGGATCTCGCCCTGCGCACTAATTTTATTGATTGGGAATGCCAGACGGCTTTAGGTCTGAAATAAGGGCTTCCTTCAAAAAGGATTTAAAGTTCTGTCGTGGGGTCATGTTTACTCGTTCAGATCAGGCACTGCAATGAGCCTTTTTGCAACATGCGCTACAAAATAAAAATAGTCCAGTCTAACAACTACTGCCCCCAACCTTCCAATGCTAATGAAGAACAAGAACATGAATAAAATGTAAGGCCTCATTTGGATCCTTGGAATTGAATCTATTCTAATAATCATAATTTAGGCACAGATCAATTAAGCTAATATGGTTGTATGCGAAATATATTTGTATTCTATCTATTGGCCATACGAGGGAGATACTTATGTGCTGCATTTCTACTATAAGGGAGCGAGCCGAAGAGTATGCTATAAGTTACAGAGTAGAAACATAGCATGGTGATCTATAGAATCTCCCACCCTATGAATTTAAGATAGGCTTAGTACATCTAAATTTTGGAAAGTTGCGGAATGTCAAATTCCAAGCCAAATAGTCTGGAAAGTTGTGGAATGTCAAATTCCTAAGCCAAATAGCTTGAGGTTCCAATTCCTCCAAAAAAAACGGCCCCTAAATGGCTAAATGTAATCATAGGAGAAATCTTGATTCTGACCTGTAGGAGTCAGCGTCACGGTTATATTCACATAGAATGTATTCCTTCAAGCTCTCCTTATCCATGCAAACCTGAAAAACAATAAACCGTTTGACCCTGTGTTTCAGTATAAGAGGATGGAAGCACAGTGAGATGAGAGAGAAGCAACGAGAATTGAAGAATCTAACAGCACGCGACAGGGAAGCATTCATTCGGCGGGCAGCATGATTTGGATTCAGTGCCATTGAAACGTGTAAAAATGGGTTTGGACCAGCGCGATGCCACCTGACCTCGATTCAGACGAACCCATGCGCACTACAGGCGCGAAGGCAAGGAACACGCATTTCTTGACGAACACAGTGCAAAATGGCAGGGCAAACAAACCCACGCCCGGCGGAGCGTCCAATTCCGGCGTGCGATTTGAGACGAAGGAAGCAAATGCGTTGGCGCAGTTTAATCCCTATCCGAACCAGAGGAATTAGAGGCCCGAACCGGGACGGCGGAGGAGGGATACCTGGAGCGGGAGGTCGACCTGGGAGAGGAGGTCGAGGGAGTGGTCGGGGAGGAGGGAGAGCAGCGCGTTGAGCGCCGTCTCCGCGCTCCGCGGCGGCATCCGCCGCATCAGATCCATCGCCGCCTCCATGCGGAACGGCTCTCTGCTCGCCTTATTCTTCCTTCCTGCCCACCACCCTCCTCTCGTAGATCCCTCGTTTCTTCCCTTCTCCTCCTGCTGCTGCTAATTCCTAATAAAGCTTTGCCATCATATTGTAGCAAACGACAGTCACCACAACGGATGGGATGCCCTGGGAACAAGGAAAGGATGGATGGCCACTTGGGAAACCAAATGATTCTGACTCAAAGTAGCGTGCATTCGTTGTAACAATAAGGAACGCTGCTTAAAACCTCGTTCGGTTACAATAATTCCTGGCCAGATCCATTCCTGCCCTTTCCGTTTCTTCAGTATTTTCTATAGCACGGGAACTGTCCGGGAACGGCATAACCGAACGGGGGAATGCAAGTAACCTAAATAATCCAGCTGGAAATACATAACTCACATGAAATATTTCCTATATAGTTTCTCTCAATTACTAAAAAAACACACAGGGCTTTGCCACCCCCTCCTCGCAAGGGATGCTTAGTACAGTTTGGGTACACCAGCATGTGAGAACAAAATCACATGGTTCCTAGACTATTTTACAGAGAATTCAGAAAAAAAGCACATGCACTTGCGCTACTTTGAAAGAGAAATGCACAACATGACAATACCCGAAACGTGGGGCTTCATATGTTTTAGTCTGTATATATGTTCTACATTCTAATTGCTGACGACTAGAACAGCTAAAGAATCTAAGATAGGCAGCACACTCTAGCACCTCAAAATGGTGAAATCCACTCAGCTCACGTTTCCTGATAGTTTCCATCTCCACATGTTAACAGATCCAATCCTGCCATCAAACCATGCACATCACAAACCTGCCAAGCTTAAGAAGCGAAGACCGGCATAAAGAGATTGTCTCCTACAATAGCAAAGTGTTTATGGGAAAACAAATGCATGGCTCCAGAGTGAAATAAAATAGTAAAATTATCTGAGCATACATGTAGGCTTTTGGCTGTGCCAGAATTTGCACTAAGAAGCACAAATCTTCAACAGTTTCATCGGTTCTCTTCCAAGTATTGGTGTAACAACTCAAAACAGTCGCTCTACTTGAGATTATCAGCCAGCTTCGTTTTGACTTTTGATATACGCTCCTCATAAGAAGCTGAAATAAGAAAATCAGGAAACATTTGTTTCAGATGTACAAGAGAAAATGTTGAAACTAAGCATTGCATCGGAAGACTGAAAATGTATTGTAGTGTCCTTATATAGGGATGGACATTAGGTGCACATGCACAATGGGCTAATTTATGGTTTAGTATTGGCCACCAACAGTCAAATATACTGTCAGAATATTCAAGATGATACTGGAAACTGATGGTCACACATAAAGCATTGGTTTCTCCATATAGAAACGTAATGACAGGAGAAATATTCTGCAAGTTCAGCCCATAAAAAGATCACAAACTTACGCTCTGTTTGTCGTGACAGGAGAGGCATATGGTTCCTCTTCTTCTGAAGCGTTTCTGATGAATTTGGTTCTGCAGTGGCATCTCACTTTTAGATTTTTAGGGTATTAAATAAAACAAAGAAAATATTTGATTCTATGTACCTGGAAAAGGTAAACATGATGACGCTATGTGAAATATTTCAGCTTGGAGCATATGATGATGATATTCATCATTTAAGTGCTCAGTCAGAGACTGGCTGGCATCTGAAATCAAATGATAGTCCATCACAATTGATACCCATACAAAAGACAAAAATACAGTGAACAAATAGTGGAGAAAATACAACAGAGAGCCTAGCTTTATACACAAAAGAGAACTGAGGTGAGAATACTTTTTCCCCCAAATTACTTGCTTAAATTTGCTGAAAATACCATGCCATGGTTAAAAGTTTTCTGATAGTCTGATACAACTATATTCTGTTGATCCCATTTAAAGCATAAGCAGAAAAAGAAATGGATTGCCTAGACCTAACATTTTCAGTTAAATAAAGAATTGGAAGTAAATTATAAGGATTTTTTCCCCGAATATGCAGGAGAGCTGCATATCATTGCATTAAGGAGAAAACATGGTAGTTACAAGTTTACAACACACATGCAACACAACTACACACAATAAGATAAGTCATCTCAGGTCCTGAGCGAGACCAGCCATCGAGAAAACAAGAAAGAGCGACCCCAACCAAATCGAAGGAAACACTACAAGGCTCAACCAGAAGCATCAAGCTGTGCCAACCCTCTAGGCACCTGCTAAACACCACAGTGCCCCTCTTAAAGGATTAGCCTAAGGACTCGTTACACTGTTTCCAAAGGATCCAAGCACCCAGTGTGACTAGGGAGTTGAGGCTTTTCTTGGAATTACTAGGAGTTCAGTCACTGGTCCGCATCGAAGTAAAATTATATGATCAGGTGAGCAAGTGAGTAAGTAACACATAAGTGATCTCCAAAAGTCTAATAAGACAAACCTGATGAACACATAAAGTTGGCTTTATCAAATAGACAAGATCGCAAAATCAATGGAAGCTCTGGCGCCATTTTATATTGAGGTTTCCTAGGAGTTTTCATAATATCCAATAGCGAATCAACTACCTGCGGTAAAATAAGAAAATTAGTGGAGGTAAGAAATCCTTACAAAGCCAACTACAAGCATGGTTTCACCAAAAGTATATCACACCAATCGACAATCCATGGACCTGAGGGAACATGTTATTGACTCTTTGACAAAAGGAAGCTTAAGAGGAAATTTTACTTACAGATGGTGACTCAAGGCCTTGACCTATTAGAAATAGCACAGCTACCATGCAGCGAACTTGATGCCACAGGAAAGCGGTACCCTTGATCGTCATGGAGCACAACTCATCATTGTTGGACCTAGAAGATATGAAACATTTTTACTGTGCATTAGAGGATATTACATGCAAAATGAAACGAGTGTTCAACTACAATATAAATTTAACCTTCTGTCACATGCAGAAATAGTAAATTCTGTAATGCGCCGCCTGTAGTTACTCACATTTGCTGCATCCATCTTACAGAAATTCCTAAAGTCATGTTCTCCAATGAAATTGGATGCAGCTTTCTGCATTTCCTGCTTGCAAATGAAAGTTGGTAGCTCAGTGGACATGACAAGTCTTAACTGACTGGGCAAGTATAAAAATCAAGGGTAGTGTAAGTACCAATATATCCAAGTCCCCCTTCCAAAATAAGTATTTGTATTCCCGGCTCAAACAGGTGAATCTGCAAATAACAGTGGGAGAAAAAAATCAAGTGGCAATCAGCAACCACAAAGTAACATCACCATATAACTGGACATAATAACCTGATCACAAAAACGATGGAGTACTTTATCTCCTTAGAATTAACACTTGTCAATAGATATAATCATATATGCTTGTTTGCAAAATAGTACATTCATCCTTGCAAGAAGAAAGAACAATATAAAACATGGAACATAGCTAACCTTGCATGAAAATCTTCTGGAACAGGACACCAACCTAGTACACGTATATCTCTTGGAAGAATTCTATTCAATACCTTCACATAATCAATTTCTGTGGACAAAAAAATCTTAGTGTGACAGAGAATAATTGCAAGTGAAGCTAAGATGCAATGAGACATCTGCTAGGAAAATATGATACTAGGACAGGAGCAAACAAAATGTATTTGATAGGGGAAGATGGAGGTTTTTCCCTTAGCAAGATAGCAAGTCATTTAAGAAACAAATCATATCATTACTCATGTCACTACATTCCTTGGTGTCTACAACACCACTAAGGGAATACAAGGCAGAAGCATACCGGGTCTTTCATCTAACATGTCCCCTCCAACATCCTTTATGTTCGATCGCAGATATAAGGAAATCACCTGCGTGTGGAGAAGGGGTAAAACATCTCTTCAATGCACACTGCCCACTACAGATAACTCCATTTCAGCACACTACCAAAAAAAAAATTATAGAATACGAAATGAAACAATTTCCAGCAGAATGCATACAGTCAACAGTCTGTAAATCTCAGACTAATTATATTCTTTATAAAAAATTTGCCTATGAAGGGCAGGCCTGGTGTAGTGGTGAGAGCTGTCTCACTGAGTCACCAAGTCACGGGTTCGAAGCAGCCTCTCCGTAAATTTTGTGGGGGAAAGGCTTGCCTCGGTTTTTCCCTTTCCCAGACCCCACTCATGTGGGAGCCTCCGGCATTGGGTCTGCCCTTTTTTTTATAAAAAAATTGCCTCTACATTCTACAATGTGATGCATAAAAATGTTTCGTACAAATTTGAAACCAAATAGTTAAAGACTACCCATGCAAAGGGGAAAATAAAAATAAAAAAGGAAAATTTGTTTTTATCTGGATTTGACAAGTTACATAGTAATCACTCCTATAATCAGTAGCAACAAGTATTGGTTCAATAGGAATGATTCTTGTAACCATGTTGTCAAAAATTGTATTTTTAGCACTAAAAACAGACAAGCATTACTTCAGAATCAGAACACATATAAGCCCGGACGGGTGCTCTTAATAGCATGAAACCCAGAGACAAAGCATTACTCCAGAATACCTTGAAGTTTTGAGAAGTGTTCTTTATATAGCATTAAAGTCAGTACCAAGTATTACTCCAGAATACATAAAAGCTAATACCATGATTTACAAGTATAAAGAAGCATATAATCAAACAGGCATTCATTAGACTCTGGCGTTTGAGTTACTCGCCAGAATAACAGGGATTCTGTGGCTACCTGTCCAGTAGCAGAAACTCCTTTGTCAGTTCTTCCACACCTCGAATAGCACGATTCTTTCCTATTGCCAACCATAAGTTTTGCTCTTTCCAGTGCTTTAAATATCTCCGACTGACAAAACAAGAAGATAGAGCTTCTTGAGGAAATGACTTAGGAAATAGCAAAGCAAACAGCTCAACAGGGAAATCACCTCAACTGTTGGCTCAGTGTTACCTTCCGAAGAAAAACCATAGAATCTGCACAAGAACAAGCAGAGCCATATGAACAGGGAGAAAAGACAGATCACAGATCACAGATCACAGATCACAAGTAATACAAGTTGAATAAGAACCAGCTAAGAACAGAGCATATGAGCAGATGCCAAGAGAAGGTCAAACATTTTAAGGAAAAATAAAACATGTTACAAGATTAGAGGAGCATGTTTTTTTTATAAAATATATTTTGTTTGTTTGGGATCAAAGGTAAGCAGTTTAGTAACTACATTGAATATCAGCAATTGCTTTTAGTACTGACATGAGTACATGATTTGATCAACAAAGACGGGCAGTTTAAACAAAAAAACTCTTGACATGCAGCATTATAGTAGTTTGTTTCCACTGGATCAGAGAGTAGTAGGATTCTAATGAAAGAATTCACCAGAAACCACTGGACCTGTTTGGATCACCTTTGGATTACAGTAATAAGATAAAATAATCTCTAGGTCATCCAAACACCCTAGATTATGGGTTGGGTTATAATAATCCTGTCCACAGACTACTCGAATCCTATAATCCATCTAAAACCTGCTAATAGGAGACTATAGGTGCTGAAAAGAACCAAATCCTGTAATCTAGCACATATAATCCAAGGATCCAAACAACCCAGATTATTTTAATCCATAATCCAGATTATTATAATCCCATTCAAAATTCAGATTCCAATAATCCAAAAGTGATCCAAACAGGCCCTAAAGAGACGATTATCAATTCAAAATGGAGCGTGCATATTCTATTTGGAGAATAACACACCTCTGGCCGAAGTACATGACTTTGAGAGCAACTAGTCGCTTTGGGCAGTGACTTAAAATCCCCACATGGCGACCTGTGCATTAAACAAAAAAATTCATTAAAATTCTGCAGAACAGTTGAAAATAGTTAATGTTTCCAATAGTCAAGGGGTAAAAGGAAAACTAGAAGCAAACCACGATACAGACATACTGAACACTTATGAAAGCAAACATCATTGATTCATTTCTCATAATAAAAAAAATAACATAGGTGTAATTGGCATATCTTCAGTAGCACCTGTTCTTTTAGTACGTTTGCTAGAATCGTCAGGCAAACCATTGCCTTCCGCATTTATGTTGCACTGTAGATCAAAGGCAAATATATTAATCATATAATGCTCATGATAAGAATGAACTAGATCCGATAAGAATTTCTTCGAAAATATGTACCTGTACTTCATTTGCAGTGGATACTACTGTGTGATCAAATGGAAAGCTTAAATCTTTCTCCAAAGTGCTACTTTGATGAAATTCCTCATTATGTTGTGTAGTAACAGATCCAACACTGCCCTCCTATGGAAGAATAAAGTTAGGCAAAACATCAACAGCAAGAACCTCATGGTACATGTTATACAGTACATTGACTTGCTTTCGGGAAAGATACCAACATCAATCCTACATATGCAAACGGGTAGACCCAGTGCCAGAGGCTCCCCACACATGAGTGGGGTCTGGGGAAGGGAAAAACCGAGGCAAGCCTTCCCCCCGCAAAATCTGCGGAGAGGTTTTGAATCTTGTGTGGATGATGCATCGTACTTGAGTTCCACACATTTATATGAGTATGCATATAACAGTGTCAAGGATTGCCATAAAGATATATCAAAATTTGTTTTCAGATAGTCATGGTCACAGACACTGATCTAATGTAATTATAAAAGAAAGAAGGGAAACTTTCTTTTAGCATGCATTCTCTGGCAGCAAACAATCAGTACATGTTTCTCAATTCTCCCAGTAATTCATGTCAGCACAAAAATGGCATGCTATAACAAACATTAGCATCTTGTAACAATTTATAGGCAGGAAAGGTAACCCTGAAAGAACCTTTTTTTGTCAAAACCAGCAAGAAAGGTTATAACTAGCTCACACAAAACCACAGTGCCAATCGCACCGTCTGGAGCTAAATCGAATCGTTATAGGTAGTGATCATCTTTCCTCAAAGATGTCTTATGATCTTATCTCTTGAGTCTTAACTAAAAACAAGAAAACTGCAAAGCTTTCATTTTCTTTTCCTTTTTGAAACGATATGCTTTTCATTTTCTAGTCAACAAGTAAGCGCACGGAACAGTTATTGCAAATTGTACCGGTACCTCACACTATTACCCTCCAAAGTTAAAATGGTACTGCATATAAGATTGTAAGAAAACAACTAATCCGGTTGTCAGATCCCTCGTGTCTATAAGGCTTAAGGAACAAAAGTACAAAACCGCTCTAGCATATCTTTGCAGCCGAAAGAGAGTGAAGAGCCGTCACCTTGAATCCGCAGGTACAGCTCGAAGCAATCCTGGCCAGCCTCTGGTTCTCTGCTTCCAGCTCCTAGCCACACCCAACCCACAATTTAGGAGGAGAAAAACGTACGGAACTCATGCATGGCAACAATTAGGCGAAGTCGAAGACACATATATAGCAAGCAGACATCCCAACTGCAGCTAGGGTTCCACACCTGTACGCGCATCCGCAGCGTGGCGACCTCCGCCCGCAGCGCCGCCGCCGTCTCGGGGTCAGCCTTAGCCGCCGCCATGGCAGCCTCGCCCGGTCAGAGGAAACCCTTCGCTGGCCGTGGCCCGTCTGCGGGTCGGGTCAGGTTAGGAGGAGCCCCCGCCTGTCTGTAAAACGTGACCCGTTAAGCACCGAGGAGCGGGTCCGCGGACCGCGGGTGCGCCGGGGATTTGACTGGTCAACTTGAAGCGGTTAGAACTACCTGCAGATTATGTGATCTGATTTGGCGGCCGTTATGTGATCTGATTTGGCGGCGAACGGGAAAGAGAAGATGAGTTAGATCCGGTTGACTACGACACTCATCCTCCCCAACTCCTCCGGAATCACAGTGGCTCAGCTAGATCGTCGTCGTTCACCGTCCTCTGTAAATAGGCAATCACATCTCGGTGGGAGAGCATCCAGCTGCAGTGCAGATAGATACTGCGGTGTGCGGAGGAGTTGGGTCAATTAGATTAGAGGAGAGTAGATTGTTAGCTCAGGCATCGTCGACCCGATCGGTCAAGAATGACCGGAGGAGCGAAGAGAGTCCTGCTGCTGTGCCTGTGCGTGGCCGTCGTGTTGGTGGCGCCCGGGAGTGGCGGCGTGGAGGCGAGGAAGCGAGGGAAGCAGTCCCTGGGGTTCTACGAGCTGCGGCGGGGCGAGTTCTCCATGGTCGTCACCAACTGGGGCGCCACCATCCTCGCCATCGGGCTCCCCGACAAGAACGGTGAGCAATCTCGGCTTGAAGATGATCTTGTGTCTCATCTTTGCGCGTGAATTGATCGGTTTTAGTTTCTGTCTGCTGCAGGGCACATCGACGACGTCGTTCTTGGCTACAAGGACATCGGGTCTTACGTGGTGAGAATATACTAAACTGAATCCCCCATGCATGCATGTCATCTTTTTTCTCCTTCTCCTTCTTGAGATTTGATTGGTGAATGGGAAATATGATAAGCTGTTCGTCGTGTTTGTTTAATGATGATCCACTGTATTGTATTGCTGGCAAACTGAAACCTGAAACAGAACGACACGACCTACTTCGGCGCGCTGGTGGGGCGCGTGGCGAACCGGATCGCCGGCGGGCGGTTCACCATCAGGGACCGCGCCTACCACACGTACCGGAACGACGGCAACAACACGCTGCACGGCGGCCACCGCGGGTTCAACCAGGTGTTCTGGTCCGTGCGGGAGCGCGTCACGGGGGAGTTCCCGCACATCACCTTCGCCTACCGCAGCTACGACGGCGAGCAGGGGTTCCCGGGGAACCTCGACGTGCTCGTCACCTACAAGATCGACGGCGACTACTCGTACAGCGTCACCATGTACGCGCGGCCGCTGGACAAGCCCACGCCCGTGAACCTGGCGCAGCACACGTACTGGAACCTCCGCGGCCACGGCAGCGGCGACGTCCTGGGCCACGCCGTCCAGATCTTCGCGAACGCGGTGACGCCCGTGGGCGAGGACCTCATCCCGACGGGCGCCGTCACCCCCGTCGCCGGCACGCCCTTCGACTTCCGCGCCCCGGCGGCTCCCGGCGCGCGCATCGCGCAGGTCGAGGGCGGTGGCTACGACATCAACTACGTGCTGGACGGCGAGACGGACGGGCAGGGCGTGCGCAAGGTGGCCGTCGTCAGCGAGGCCGACTCCGGCCGCGTCATGGAGCTGTGGGGGAACCAGCCGGGCCTGCAGTTCTACACGGGCAACTTCCTCAAGGGCGACCAGGGCAAGGACGGCGCCGTCTACGCCAAGCACGGCGGGATGTGCCTGGAGACGCAGGACTACCCGGACGCCGTGCACGAGCCGGGCTTCCCGGCCGAGGTCTACCGCCCTGGCCAGCTCTACAAGCACTACATGCTCTACAAGTTCTCCATCAACAAGTAGAAACTACTAGTAGCTCTCGTGCCTGATGCCTCATGGAGGTGAGTGCTAGGCTGATGATAGCTTGTTGCAAGTAGTAATAAGGGTTCAGAATCTTGTGTAATTGAGCAGGCTTCGCCTCTCTTTTAGCTTAGAAGTTGCAACAAAAATGTATGGTTGGATTTCATCCAAAGTTTCTAGTTAACATTTCTGCCATTGAATGATTTCTTTAGATGAACCCATAAATAGTAGTACCACTTTCAAATGACAATTCCATTTCATATCCAAAATGTCTCATTTTCATGATTACATCACCGAAAACAAAGGAAAAAATGGCGGAATTGCAAAAACAAGAGAAATGGCAAAATTTCAAGCAGCTCTTTTCGTGTGACTTATTTACAAGGAAAAGCAGGCTTCGCATCTCTTTTAGCTTAGAAATTGCAACAAAAATGTATGGTTGCCCTGCATTTCATCCAAAGTTTATCTAGTTAACATTTCTGCCACTGAATGATGTCTTAGATGAATACCACTTTCAAATGACAACTTCATATCCAAACTTGTCTCCGTTTCATGATTACATCACTACGAAAAACAAAGGAAATGGTGAAATTGCAAAAACAAAAGAAATGGCGAATTTTCGAGCTGCTCTTTTTGTGTGATTTATTTACCAGGAAAGTAGGCCAATCAACGATGCAAACTTATGCCATGTTCGCTTGAATTTATTAACCTAGCTTATTAGCCATAGAACAATGTTTTTTTCTCACAACAAATCAGTTTCAGCCGGCTTATCGGCCGCACAAATCATCAGCCAAACAGCTCATTAGGGTGCAATGTGTGATGAATACTCCACATGTCCTAGAGATTTTAATACAGATTAATAAAGAAAACAAAAACGTATGTCCTCCTAACAAATTTAGTTGCTTTACACAAAAAAAAAATAGTTACCATATGTATAAACACTGTTGCATTGGATTTGCGGTCATACAAGAAGAGATCGAGTTCGGAACGATGATATACGTGATAGATTAGGGGTAGCACCAATTGAAGAAAAGCTTATCCAACACCAGTTGAGATGGTTTAGACATGTCCAACGGAGATCTCCAGAGGCACCGGTGCGTAGTGGAATCCTAAGCCAAGATAGTAACGTGAAGAGAGGCAAAAGAAGACCGAAGTTGACTTGGATAGAGACAATAAAATGAGACTTGAAAGGATGGAATATATCCAAAGACTTAGCCTTAGATAGGAGTGCTTGAAAGACAACTATTCACGTGCCTGAACCTTGATTGCTTCTGCTGGGTTTCAACTCTAGCCTACCCCAATTTGTTTGACTTAAAGGCTTTGTTGTTGTTGTTGTATGTATAAACACTGTCATCAAAGCGGAATGTTTTGAATTTAACGCAAAATTATCCATTCGACATGATCTTAGAACACAAAGTTTGACTACTGACGGTATATAGTTATATACTGTGCTACGCTAATAAACCATAGCAGAAAATAAAAAGGTCGTTTCAATATTTATTTATCACCTACACCAACATCACTACTACTATCAGATTAATTGTGGTTAAAAATTAGCGTTTGACGATAAAATTTGTGTAACGAGTTCGTTTGAAATCACAGTAGAATTCGAAAAGACAATGGAACAAGGGTCTATTTGGCCCACAGCCTCGCGAGCAGCCTAAAATAGACTCGGGCCCAACCAAACAAAACAGGCCCTAAGTGCATTGCTATATATCAATAAAAAAACTTTGAAACAACATCGCCCAGATTTATACACAGGAGTACACACTAATATCTTCCTGACGGAAGTGTATGGATCTCGTTTAAGCAACAGTGCAAACATTCCTTTGAATTAACATGTTCATCGATAAACAACTTCGGCAATGAAGAGTCTCAGCAATTACAGTTCTCACGAATTTAAATTGCAATTTCAGACAACCCTCGGCAGCCAACTTTCGTTTTCATGTAACAAAATTAGGTCCTAACAAAGCCAGCAAAATTAGGCCCTAACAAAACAGGGAGGTATGATCACTCTTCCTCCTCATCATCACCGCCTCCACCAGAAGCCTTCTTTGAGTTCTTTCTCTTCACCCTTCCAGGTTCACCACCACCAAGTGGGCTGGTAAGGGAGAAGTCAATGTGCTTCTCTGAGTCAACTCTCACCATGAATGAGGGAATGTTGACAAGTTGCCTCCCAACTCTGCAGAAATAGATTTGAGTTACATTTAAGTAAAATTGCTGCCAAAAAATAATGTATGCTATTGAACAAGCAATTGGGAAAACAATGCATACAGAAGAGCTGAAAAAAATATCATAATCCCAACAGGTATGATTCAATGAAATCGGCACCATTGGTGTGGATTCCAAAGAGTACACAAAAATCAATCTTGTTCATGCATTTGCATTAAAACCAAGAAAACTTAAATGCATCATACATCCAAACTAGTTAAGCAGCAAGACTCAGGTAACAATAGCTTGAAAGTAGCCCAGATGAAAATACAAGGTTGTGTGCATTATAGCAATATTTGGTAAAGATAAGGAATAAACTAATCAGCAGTAAACCAGGTTGACAGAGTCACTAAGTCAGTTTGCGTAGTTCTCACATCAGGAGCTGTAAGCAGCAAAAGCGAAAAAAACAAAAATATTGGCACTCAGAATGAAAAGGACATTTGATTCACTGGCCTTTTGACCTCATAGATACATTAGCAAAATTAGTTCCTCACTGTGCCACCTATAATATACCAAACGCACCTCACAAGAAAGAAACACAAAAATGCCTCAGAAACAAAGACAAAGGGAGCATCAGAGAAAACATGACTGCAACATTACACACAAAGTGTCTCAGACGACCGTCGTGAGTTGCATAAAGTTTCTGATCATATGGCCCAAAACACAAACAGGAAGATAGTTTAATTCACAATACTTATAACCAGTGTGATAACACAAATTGATATACACCCCCAACATTGTAAGAGAAGTTATCCAATAAAATACAGATGTAAATACTACACATTCCATGACATTAGCCTGTTCAAGTAAATGTGTTACTAGTTAATCGTAATATGACAAAAACATAATCTCCAGGGGAAGAAATGTTATTGTTTGTACCTAATGTGGCGTTGCCTGATGAGCACACGAGCATGATGAATGGACTTCGCCATGCCATTCTTGAAGACAATGGTCTGAAGGCGGCGCTGCAGGAAGTTCTCAACAGTGAGCGCAAGCACATAATCAAGCTTGTTCTGACCCTCGCCAAGAAGACCATAGCGGTTCATGCGGCGCAGGAGTGCCTCGCCCTCAAAGATACGGCGGGGATTCTTCTCATCGAGGGTGAGCAGCTCCCTTGCAGCATTTCGGATGCGGCTGAGGGCATACTGCACACGCCACAGCTCACGCTTGCACCTCAAGCCATACTCACCCACCAATTTCAGCTCAGCATCAAGGCGCTCCTTCTCATACGGACGCCTTGGCTTCTTGAAAGTCTTACCATCTGTGTAAGACACACATTGTTGGAATGAGCAAAATAAATAATGATGGCATTGTTGGAATGAACAAAATACATAATGATGAGATTCTGAGCATCAGCATTCAGCAAAACACAGCAGCTCTAAAATAACAGTACGGCAATCACAATCTATCGATTCATTTATCCAACACTAATGTTTGTCTGTTTATGATGAAGCTCAGGCTCAGCAAATAATACATACATGAAATAAATAAGTTAAATAGATTTAGAAATAATTCCTGAATCCAAACAACTTGGCGAGCATTCTAAAATGAAATCACTACAACGAAGCTTTTGCTTTTAAAGTTTCTATATTGATGATGATAAATAACAGCCTAACAGACTAACCAGACACTGTTAAGCACTCAGACCACCAAACTATATTTGATTGTAAGTCTCTTAGTGGGCATGAAACATTCGTTTCCAGATTAGAAATACAGTGAGGTATTTTAGACGCTATCTTCCAGATTCAAATAACAAAGAACAAAAGATATTCCTCGACATTAGAACCTACCGCCAGAACATAGTTAGTCCTCAACATCAGATCCTACCGCCATTACGCTACCATGAGATCAAACGGATCATAACAATAGGGAGGCAAGCAGCTGGTCGCTTACAGTTGCGATAGAAGCTCACGTGCACCATTGCTGACGCTGCCTCCGCCGCCCGCCGACGGTCTCGGTCGCCGCCGCCGCGAGGTGTGCAACTTGTGAGGGGGAAGCCGAGGGAGACCGTGGAGGCGGCGTTCTTATAGAGGAGGCGCTAAAACCTAACCCTAGCGCTTAAGGTTATATGGGACCAACCTTTGTGGGCCTTTTTGCGTTGGCATGTGCTGGTTATCCTCACGGTCCTCCGGTGGTACAGTTTCTCATTTCTAGTCTAGTTTTATTACTTTGATTTGAAAAACACACCATAGGCAAAACCCTAATTTATTATCTGTGTCTCAGTGAATATATACACATGGTTAAGAGCGACCTAGGGGATTAGGTTAACCTATAACATCTTTGTAAGTTTCGCTATTTTGCTCTTTATTTTCTCTCCTCTAGCTATTTGTTCTGGTTATCATAAATAGGTGTGAGGCTATCCAACAAAGTGTATTTTTTTTTGCAAGAACAAAGTGTATAGTTTTAGGGTAACTAGATTGAATCGAACCCACTTTTACTACCTTTGGTTTGAGAGGCTGCGAGGCTTGGTTTCATCCGTAAAAAGGAACGAAATATTCCCTCTAGATGTAAGCATACTTACTTTAGTGTAAGCACATTTGCATGTGAGAAATATAGGCTTAGAGAGATGATGATGATGAAAGTGGGCCCGTTGTGTCCATGGATGTGTGGTAAAAGAGAAGAGCGTGATAGTTGGCATGTGAGCCTGCGTTTTATCCTATTAATCAAAACCTTCAACCAAACAAAGATATGAACAGTCTCTAACAAATACGAAGTAGAACAAAATAATCCTCAAACACTCAGAGATATAAGTATATAACTATTCCATCTCGTACACGAACCGAACAAGTCAGCTCTAACCTTTGACCCAGTAATAAGGTCATTTCGGTTTCTTCTTTCTAGTAGCTATTTTCAGTAAATTGCCATCCCTCAAAGAAACATAAAAAAGAAGAGAGAGAGAGTAAACGGTAAACTCATGCTCAAAGAACAAGCAGATTTTAACTCCTATATGGGTTTCTTATATGGCCTTCACAAGGTTGAATTTTCTTATTTAATGCTGACTTGAACTCTTGTGATAAGGATTGACTCGCGGAAGGGTACGTGGTGGTGGATAGAAACTAGAATCACTCGGAAATCACTTAACAAGGTCCATGCTCAATTCTCATATTATATCAATATCAACTCCCTTCAAATAATGAATTACATGGTTTATTTATAGTAGGAACATCCCTCCCAGTTAGATGTAAACATAAGCATAAATAAAAGCAAGTGAAAGATCATATTGATGGAGAAATTGAAGATTCTTCTTTCATTCTCGTGTAGCCACTGACAGTCTGTGCAACCTTCACTAAAATAGCCATAACTCCTCGCTCGGAAGTCCAAAAGATATACCGTTTATTGCTTTGGAAATTAGACTTATATATTTTTCCAATGATATAGCATATGAATACTAAAACCATCAAAATTGATGCCAGCAAGCCACGAAATCCTATACTCTTATAAAGCTAAACACCACTAGAGATTTCTCTCAACATGCAAGCTATCCACATTAACAATCCACTAGAATTTATAATTATAGCTAACTAGCACATGTAATTATGATAGTTATCTCTTCATCCACTAACATGCATTTAGCTGTCCACATCGATATGTTCAAACCACTCACCAAAATTAATTTAAAATAGTTTCATTCATATAACTGTAAATATAAATAGTCTAATTTCTTTTTAAATTATCTGAAATCCCCGCATTAACACGCGGGGTATTCTCCTAGTATAACACTAATTTTGTATGCTTGTCATGACCTTATCATCTTGTCTCTAAATTGACGTCGTCATTTATTTCTAGGGCAATCCTAACGTAAGCATACAAAATTACTTATCTTAGACAAGTATTCAAGAAGCTATCACACACAATTACTTCAACCGATGTAGACACAAGCCCTGTCAATCCTTTTATGCGCCCCCTAGTACTTTTGGCATAATAAAGCTTCGGTCAGCTGTGTGCCCATAGATTCTATTATTCAACATTGTGCTGCAAAAAACCGTGTGCTCTAATCTTTTGTTAGACAATGCTACCATAACTCTTGTAGGGTTCTTTAGGGCAACCGCAACGCAGGCTAACATAAGAGTTGGCCTGAAAAAAAAATGTAGTAGGCTAGGAAGATATAGCTGCTAATTTCTCTAACCGAGGTAAGTGCTATCTTTTTTCTCTTTAACATAGCAACGTGCGAGTGGTGGGGTGTGGTCCCTGAAAGAGTACGCTGAGGTGGTGCTCTATCTCGCTCCAATGTATGGCTCGGTGAGTGCTTTGAGTCTTTGTCAGATAAATCTCGCTCCAATGTATGGCCGTATCGTATCGTGGATTATTTTTATCACTGCTGGTTTGAGAGAAAGTGCTTTGAGTGAAAATTTGATCGTTTAGACAAAGCTCTTGGTTTTGAATGATGTTCTCACGTGCTACGAGGCTATCGATGGATGTGATTTGAACACTGACTATATACGTGGAGGTCGAGGCTAAGAGGCGCGGTGACACGCTGAGGAAGGCTTAGGGCGTCCCCAACGGGAATCAAATAGCCAGCTCAGGTACGATTTTATTGGACGGAGAAGAGAGAAAGCAGCGCGCTAGCGAGTTGCAATAGCCAGTCTCGCACGTGTCCCAAGAAAACTTCTCTCTCAGCCAGCATGGCTCCCAAATCTAAGTGTTGTTTTTTTATTGTTTCTAGGGATGACCTTTGTCCTGTTTTGTTTGGGCTGGTTTGCCTTATAAGTTATCATGGTTGAAAATATCGTTGGCTAGTTTGGTGTAAGAGAAAAATACTATTCGTTAGCTGATAAATCATGACTTATAAGTCAAATACGACCGATTAAAAAAAAGGCTGCTTCCCTACCGATTTGCTTCTCCCGTTGAGGACACCCTTAAGATTGAGAGGAGCACATCAGTTCATGCCCGTTCGTTGCTACAGGTTTAAAAATCCATACTTTCTAGTATTTCAAGAGATCAAGTGATAACTCTAATTGTAAAAAATAAATAACTGACGTAATCTCATAACTCTATTTTCAAAAGCAACTTATATATTTTGCCATTTTTCAAGCAAGCAAGAAAAAAAGCAGCTTTGCAAATCTGTAGCATGCATGGTGCTTGTCATGCTTCCACTCAAGTTTTTGCTTCCATCTTGCAATCACAAACATACATTCTGAGAGCAACATATCTATACAATTGTCTAGTCATCACATGAACATATTCAGCGTTCATATCCAAACAACAAGAGTCAAATTCATAATCGGTGTACATTCAATGTCCACCTTCTCAAAGACAACGTTACAATATTCTTTTTTTTTTTTAAACAATGGCAGGAGCTCTGCCTTTCAATTAAGACGAATGAAGTTTATATATAAGCAAAAGGTAGCCAAGCGTGGCGCCAAACACCATGAAAGGTTACCCACCCACGCAACGCGATAGAGTACACACTACCATGAGTCATCGTTGCCGAGCATAGTTGCAAAGCAGCTAGAAGCTCCGACTTCCTATGGCAAAACACCGACAACCCATCATAAGATGTCAGACCAACGGGCCCGAAGTAGTAGGCTGCAGCAGGTCATCGTTGCCGAGCTCAACAGCCCCGCGAAGAGCAGCTCCGACTTCCTGCCATGATCCCACGCCCCGCCCGCGGTGATTGCCGAGCCTCTAAAGCTGACCCAGCCGTCGGAGAAGGAGGGTTCGACACGCGTCATCGTTGCCGAGCTACATCCCCTAATGCAGCAGCTCCGACTTCGCGATGCAGAACTCGCCGTCTCGCATTAACCGGGCGCCGAGAGGCGGAGGACATCCGCCGAAAAAGACATCACGGCCGAGACGAATTTCCACAGCGACGCCTTCAGGAAGGGTATGACGCCGAATGCGTCGCCGTCGCTTGTCTAGGAAAGGACCGGGTTTTCACCCATGGAAGACATGGCTGGGGCCACAAGAACACGACGCCCCCAACAAGGAAAACGGCGTCCACAGGCGTCGCCGTCGCCAAGGCTTTCGCCCGAGGTGCCCCTATCACATATGTTGAGCCAAGATCTTTGGACCGTAGCTTCGCCGCCACCGTCTGCGCCATCGCCATCCCGCAGAAGCTTCTCAGAGGGGGGCATCGCGCCGGCCGCTCACACAAAGCCCGACAATTGCTGTCGCCGCCACCCCCTCCGATCGGGCAACATGCGAATCTGGACTTACCCTACCACGCGCGCACACCGCTGCGCCCGACGCCGTTGCCGCTACTACTGCCGGCCAAGCACAAGCACCGCACGCCGTCGACCTCCGCCAGCCCACCGCCGCCAGCACATGCCCCCACCATGGGCGCCGCCGCCGGGCACGGATGTGGCCGTGGCGCCAGATCCGATGTCAAGAGTGCCGCCCACGCCAAGGTCGAGGAGGAAAGGGGGGAAGCGGAGGAGGAAAAAGGAGTCCCCGCCACCGCCCGGCGCCTGCACGGGCACTAGCCAGAGCCGCCGCAGCCGCAGCAGGTTGCCCCGCCGAGCCCCACGCGGCTTGCGCGAGGGCACGCCCGCCGCCGCACAAATGCACGCCGCCAACATCGCCGAAAGCGCGAGAGAGGAGAGAGAAGAGGCCGCCCTAGGCCGATGTAGCCGCCGCCACGCGCGCTACTGGCGCAAAGGCTCGAACTCCAGCGGATCCGGCGACAGCGTGGCGCCATGGACAGGAGCCACCGCCACCGACGCCCAGCGCCCGCCCAGGCGCTGCCTGCCGGAGATCCGCGCGGATCCGGTTGCCGACGCGAGGAGACCGCCGCCGAAGACGCCGGCGCCGCCCCTAGCCTCAACGACCTCGCCGAGCCCCAGGAAGCCACACGCGAGCTCGTCCTCGGTCGTTGCAGCTCCCACCGCGAAGAAGAGCCTCGCCGCCGCCCTCCCGGCAAGCCGCACGGCCATGCCGGCGGCCCGCTCCGGCGACGGCGAGGCTAGAGAGAGGGAGGGGAGG